CATTTAGAGTCACTGTTTCCTTGTTAATTTTTTGTCTGGAAGTTCTATCCAGTGAAGTCAGTGGGATGTTAAAGTCCCCTACTATGACTGTATTGCTGTTCATCTTCCCTTAAAGTCATCAAGAAGTTTTTTTTTTACATATTTAGGTGCTCCTATATTGGGTGCATATATGTTATATCCACTTGTTAGATCAATCCCTTTAGTATTATGTAGTGGCCTTTGTTGTTTCTTGTGATTGCCTTCATTTTGAAGTCTATTTTGAGTATTGCTACCCCAGCTTTTTTCCTGTTTCCATTTACATGGAAAAATTTTTTCCATCCCTTCACTCTCAACCTTTTTGTTCTGAGGTGGGTCTCTAGTAGATAGAATATAGTTGGGTCATGTTTTTGTGTCCATTCAGTTACCATATGTCTTTTTATTGGATCATTTAATCCATTTACATTCAATATTATTGATAGGTATTTATTTATTGCCATTTTAATTCTGTATGCCTAGGTTTCTCTCTATTTCTTCTCATTACAGCAGTTCCTTGGCATTTTTGACAGTGCTGGTTTGGTGGTGACAAACTCCTTTAGTCTTTTTTTTTTGTCTGGGAAGCTCTTTATTTCACCACCTATTTTAAATGATAGCCTTGCTGGATATAGTAATCTTGGCTTCAGATCCTTGCTTTTCATTACATTGAATACTTCATGCCATTTTCTTCTGGCTTGTAGAATTTCTGATGAGAAATCAGCTGACAGCCTTATGGGAGCTCTGTTGTAGGTAACAAATTGCTTTTCTCTTGCTGTCTTTAAGATTCTTTGTCTTTAATTTTTGGCATTTTAATTATGATGTGTCTGAGCATGGGCCTGTTTGGGTTCTTCTTGCATGGACTCTCTTTCCTCCTGAACTTGTGTGACTTTTTCCTTTACCAGGTTAGGGAAGTTTTCTGCTATTATTTCTTTAAATACATTCTCTAGCCCAGGGGTGGGCAAACTTTTTGACTCGAGGGCCACAATGGGTTCTTAAACTGGACCGGAGGGCCGGAACAAAAGCATGGATGGAGTGTTTGTGTGAACTAATATAAATTCAAAGTAAACATCATTACATAAAAGGGTACAGTCTTTTTTTTTTTTTAGTTTTATTCATTTCAAACGGGCCAAAACCGGCCCGCGGGCCGTAGTTTGCCAAGGGCTGCTCTAGCCCTTGCTTACTTTCTTCTCCTTCTGGCACTCCTATTATGTGAATATTGTTACATTTCATATTGTCCCACAGCTCCCTTAAACTGTCTTCCTGTTTTTTAATTGTTTTTTTTTTCTTTTTGGTTCTCTGATTTTTTTCTACCCTGTCTTCTGATTCACTGATCTGATCCTCAGCTTCCCTAATTCTGCTGTGTATTCCTTCCAATGTGTTCTTTATTAGTGCTATGTCATTATTTTTGACTGGTCTTTTTTCATAGTTACTATATCTTTTCTCATGCCATTGAGTATCTTTGCCATCATTATTCTTAACTCTATATCTGATAAATTTCTTATCTCTATTTCGTTTAGCTCCTCTTCAGGATAATTCTCTTATTCTTTCATTTGGGTGTGTTTGTTTTTGTCTCCCCATCTTGGCTTCCTGTTTGGGTTTGTGTCTACGTATTAGGTAGATCTGCTATGACTCCCAACCTCTAGTGCAGGACAATGTCAAATGCTGTTTCCGACTGGCCCTGAGTACCCTGTTTGGAGCTATCAGCAATCCTCAGCTTGTGGCTAACCTCTGCTGTGGCTGTGTGTCTTTGGAAAGGACCAAGATGTCCACCAGGGTCTGCTTTTTCTAGTCCCATGCCCAGAAGGAGATTAGGCAAAGACTTTAAGCCTCCAGAGATCTGCCTCTGCCTGCAATCCAATTGACACTCAGTCTTAATTTGCCTTAGGCTATAAATCACAGAGTAAGGTTAGAGCTCTTCCAACAGGGTGGGGCAACTGTCTTTTCCCCAGGCAAAAACCACCTGGATAGCAAAGGTCCATGAAGAAAGATGCCTCCACAGTGTGTAGGAATGACTCAGCACAGGAAAATGGCTGCACTCTGAGCTCTAACCTCAGAACCCCCAACTCTGGACTTCCCTCACACAGCTCCAGTCCACTTTGCCCTCCCTCTACCAGAGCCCACGGTGAATGGCTGCACACAAAATGTGCGTTGGCCCTTTAGGAGGGTGCCTGCCTTTCTAGCCATCTCTGGCTGGCAGACAGCAACCCTGCTGCTTTTCACAGTTATGTGGGCACCTTTCTCAGTTCTGGTTCTCTAGGCTGAGGAGCCCAGCTTGGAGTTTAGACCCCAGAGTTCTCAGTGGGAACCCCCCACAACTGAGATATCCCTCCAGACTTTCAGCTGCTGTCTGTGGGAGCTCAGCCAGCCCTTTCACTTTTCTACATTTCCAGTCAGTCTCTATGCAGTCTCCACTTTCCATCCTTGGTTATCAGGGCTCTCCCCAACTAGTATTCAGTTGAGTTGATTTTTCAGGGTGGTTTTTCTGTATTTTAGTTGTATTTCCAGTTTGGTCCTGGGAGAGTGTCAGGGTAACTTACTCTACCGCCATTTTTAAGACTCTCTACTTTTAGCATTTTGATGAATTTCCTTTCAGTCATTTATAGATAGATGTGTTTTAAAAATACTTCCCTGGGATACTAGAGGCATTTCTTCAGAAGCTAATTTTTCACTTACATCATTATTGAACACTTTCTCCTGACATCAAATAGCCTAATAAAATGTTAATTGCTGATAAAAGTCCTCTGGATAAATACACAGCCCCAGGCCAGGGGATTGTCAAGGGTGGGGGGCGGGGGGAAAGGAGACATATGTAATACTCTTTGTAATACTTTAAGCAATAAATAAAGGAGAAAAAAAAGAAAAAAAATACACAGCCCCACATTTTCTTTGAGCAGTCCCATTGGACACTTGGATAGTTTATCTTTCTTTTTTTCTTAACATAAATTTATTTTCTCACCATTGTAAAGGCTGGAAGTCCAAGACCAAGATATCACCAGGGCCCTGGGTTTTATAGTGAGACAATGAGCTTTAGAGACTGGTAGAAAGAAACTTATTCAAGCTTGTAGAGAATCCAGCCACAGCACACTCCTGGGAGATGAAGACACCAGACATCATGGTCTAAACCTGGACACATGGTCCATCAAAAAGACATCTCCAGCCCCATCCGCCCATCCGGTTTGGCTTAGTGGATAGAGTGTCAGCCTGCGGACTGAAGGGTCCCAGGTTTGATTCTGGTCAAGGGCATATACCCGGGTTGTGGGCTCGATCCCCAGTAAGGGGCATGCAGGAGGCCGCCAATCAGCAGCTCCCTCTCATCACTGATGTTTCTCTCTCTCTCTCTCCCTCTCCTTCCCTCTCTGAAATCAATAAAAATATACTTTAAAAAAAGAAAGACATCTCCAAAAGAACACCCTCTAGTTGCACTGGATTGGACCATATTGGATATTGTTAACTAATCCCTGAGTTGCAAGGTTAAAAGAGATGGTTCATTTAAGTAACACAAAAATTCACCTAAATGGCCTACTCAGGGTCACCTGAGAAGTCCTTTGTGTCATCTGGAAATGGATATTCAAAGTGTAAAAATACCTTACAGCTTCATTGCAGATCCAAATTTACTGCATCCTTAGCAAGTACCACTGGAAAGATGAATCATCTTCTTTAATCTTTACAGCAAGGCTCCTACCAGTTAGACTTTCTTCAGCCTCACCAACCCACATACCTGGAAACCCAGACTTCAACCCTCCTCTTTATTTTATCTGCCCCCAAAACTGAGTGAGGATAGAACATGACTGTTTTTAAGATGTTTTAGGAATCTCTTTGATTAAATAAATAGTTGGCCATATTTTCTTTTGCTCCCCCAAACTCTTATATTAATCCAGTGAACAAATTTGATTAAACATTTTGTTGCCACGCACTGTGCTAGACACAGGGATCCCTACAGTCATGCTCTTCAATTCATGGGAAGGACAGACAGTAAACAAGAATCAGCCACACTGTGGGCAGTGCTATGAAGATGACAAAAGTGATGGGCTGGGTGAGGTAGGTAGGAAGCCCTCTCTAAGCAGGTGATATTTGAACTGAGACCCGGAGCATGAGAATAAGTCAGACTGTTGATTTTTGTCTGCATCTTACAGATTTTCATTTCTAATAAAAGTAAATGTCAATATTGAATATCCCACATAAACAAAACGCTCTTTGGGGGTTCTTTCATTTTTCCCTCAGAAAATAAGGGTCATGAGACCAAAAAGTGAGAAAACCACTATGGTTTATCCCCAGCCATGAGTGGTACATTTCTTTCTTTGACCTCATAAGGTACCATTGTGATGGAAATACAAACCACTCCTTTAAGGTCCTGGCTGGGCTAAAGTTTTAGTCCGTTAGAGACCAGGAAGCTGATTGGTGGTGACTTGTTGGAGTTGGACTAGTTGGCTTGTTTTCTCATAGTTGTGTTTTGTTGTTGTTGTTTTTTCATTGTTTCTATTTTTTTTACTTAATTTTTTTTCTTTTTATATTTCATTTTTTTATTTTATTTTCTCCTCCTCCTCTTCTTCTACTCATCCTCCTCTCTTTTTTCCTATTTTCATCACTGATCCACTTTAGTGAGTACAGATCTCAGAGAATATTTTTTTATTTCTTTAAGTCATCATGTCTGATGACTTTGTAGCCATCTCTGCCAATGAGGAGTGCCATATTGGCAACTACCTCATCCTCAACACCTTTGGCAAGGGATCCTTTGGAGAGGTTAGGCTGATCTGTCACACTGTCACCAGCACAGAGGTGGCTGTAAAAGTTGTCACCTGGCAGGGTTCCTCTGATGTTCTTCAAGAGATTCATTCTCTTAAGAGATTAAATCATCCCAACATTACAAAGTTGTTTGAGGTCATTACCATCAGGACAAAGTCTATATTTTCATGGAACACGCTAGTGAAGGAACCTTATTTGACTATTTAGAGAACTGTGGCCCCATGATAGAGAAGAAAGTCTAAGCCATGTTCCAGCAATTATTATCAGTGGCCCAGTATTGCCATCAGAGACACATAGTACTTCAGGATCTGAAGCCGGAGAACATTTCTCTAGATGGTGAGATAAGTGTTAAATTAGCAAACTTTGGCTTCAGTGGGGAATTTACAGAAGAGAAACAGTACATTCTGTGGCACCATCTCCTATATGGCCCCAGAGATCTTGCAGCTCGAATCCTATGAGTGCCCGAAGATGGACATCTGGAGCATGGAGGTAGCACTCTACAGGATGGTGACGGGAACTTCCATTTGTGGGGGGAAATTTTGAAGAAGTTAGGAAGATCTTGAGTGGGCACTTCTTTATACCATACTTCCTGACTCTGAAATGTCAAAGACTTTTACAGAACTTAATAACTCTCAACCTCAGCCAAAGATCAACAATGAAAGACATAATGAAGGACCACTGGGTCAACATTGGCCAGTCAGAGAAACTGAGGCCATACTTTGAACCACCCTGTGGTGACTTAGACCCAAAAGTAAATAAAGAACATGGGATATGAATAGCATGAGATACAGGAATCACTCACAGGAAGAATATATAACAACATCATGGGCACTTATCTAATACTAGATAGCATGAAAACCCCAAGATCGGGGGAAGGCCCTGAGCCTCCCCAGACCCCAACATTATTCTTTCCCCAGCACAGGGGTTTCAGACTTCAGGGCAGAATGGCCGAGGCCCTGGAACTCCACCACTCAGCCCAGAGTCAATGATGCCCACTCCCCCAGTAAGTCTGGGAGGACCACCACTCCCCCAGGCAGCATGCAAGCGAGGATGGCCATTCCCCCAGACTAGAAGAAAGGATGACCATTTACCCAGCCAGGGTGGAAGGGAGGAATTCCATTCCCTAGCCAGTCCCAAAGGAAGGACCACACAATCTCCCTATGCAGCCTGGAATCAAGGATTGCCACCCTGAGCCCAATCCTCCAACGTGACCCTGGGGGCTCCCCCACCACCCACAGCGGCAGCAGCATTGGTGGAGCCCCAGAGGGGACAACCAATGAAAACTGGCTTCAAGCTGGGCAGCAAGATGATGGACTCCAGCCTCTTCCTCTGGCCCACAGGGGGTGGGCTTGGAGGTTCTTAGGTTTTTCTTAAGATTCTTATGCTATAAGTTGTCCACTGACAAGCAGCATCTCAAAAGGACAAGAGTGAAGTCAATATAATTTTTTACAATAGTGGACAGCCAAAGCATGACTAGCCAAAGATGCTGGGGCAATCAAGCAGTACTTTCTGCATTTTAAATGTTGAACTATAAAGATGCTGAGCTCCAGAGACAGGCCATGTGGTGTGGGAGATGAGACAGAAGCTGGATGTAAGCAGCAAAGCAAGAAATACACGCTGTATTTCTGGAGAGACCATGGAGGTGTGCTAACTGCCGAGGCATTCTCTGCATGGCATTCACATCAGGACGGTATCCTGCATCCATGGCCTTCAGAAGCATCTTATCCAAAATACCTTGAGCTTGGAAGACTGCCTGGAGCCCCCTGGGGGCGGTCAAGAGGAGAAGCTGTCCTCCCTATGAGTCTGCCTGAATGAAAACTTCAGAGACTGGAACTGTTTTTCCTGGGGCCATTCTCCCTGCCCTGCTCTCCTTTGCTCCTATGTTTGTAGGGATTCTTATTAAAGTATTTAGCTCTCTCAAGTTTCCTAATAAACTTGATGCTCCAGAGAAAAAAAAGATGTCACCAGGGTTGGTTCCTCCTGAGGCCCTTCTCCTTGACTTGCAGATGACCACCTTCTTGCTCTGTCCTCATGTGGCCTTTCCTCTGTGCATATTAATTTACCATTTTTGACCAACATAAAGCAAGTGCAGGATCGGATTTTGCCAAGTGACCCTCTCCGACCGGGGCACACAGACCCAGGCGGAGGAAGGGGGTCACAGTTGACCCAGCGGGAAGCCGGAGACCTCGCGCAGGACACAAGCCCAGCTCTGTGACGTCAGCCTAGGCCCCGCCCCCTCAGGCGGAGCCAATCGCAGCGCGGGGCGGAGCCTCCAGAGGCGCGCGTGCGCCGGCTGCGGGCCAGCTGGGCGCGATGGACCGGCCCTTCCCAACGCCCCGAGTCTGGCGCAGCCGCTGCCGGCCGAGCTGTGCTCCGAGGAGGAGCTCTATGACTGCCCCGATTACTACTACCTGCGCGACTTCCCGGCCGGTGGGGCCGGACACAGCAAGGGCCGCACGCGGCGCGAGCGGGAACTGCGCACCAACTGGCCGGTGCCTGGCGGCCACGAGCGCAAAATCGCACAGAAGCTCCTCAACGGCCAGCGCAAACGGCGCCAGCGCAAGCTGCAGCCCCGGCCGCGCACTCGCCTCGCCTGCGCGCCGGTGCGTACCGGCCAGACCCTTGGGGCCCGGGGAGCCCCGTGAGCGCGAGCGCCGCGGGCCACTTCCTTGGTCCCCTACGATTCGACCCGGGCACAGTCGCCCCTTCGGAAGCGGCCCCGCCTTAGCGAGTCGCAGGTGGACCCCGTTACCCGCAGCTTATCTCCTGACTGCAGCTGGAATGGTGGAAGGGGCTAGGGAAGGTAGAAAACATCTTTTTAAAGAAATACAAGTGAGGGGTTTACTTCCAGTGTTGATGCTCGGACCAAAGAAAATAATTGATTTTTGTTTTTGTCTGATTTTTCTACAGGATACCGAAGGACCTGATAAAAAAAAGTCTTTTCTTTGACTCCAGCTGCAACTGGTCTTAAGGGGAGAGAATCCATGTTGGTCAACAGAATTTGGTTTTGGCATCGCTTAAGTTTACTGCTTCAACGGCCAGACTCTGGTTGTTAAGTAACATCCAAGTGGGTATGCCTTTTTAGGGTTTTTAATTAAAAGAGAGCAGCAGCAAGAGTGGCATTTTAACTCTTCTAGTGTTTTTTTTTTTTTAGTTGCTACAGTAACTAGTTTTAAGTCTACAAATATTTGCATTCTTCTTCCTAAAGTAAAGGTCACAAAGATGAATGGGGGGAGGAGAACAAAGATAGGAATTTGTACAAGATTTCAACTCAAGTGTGCAGGTTTAATATTTATTTTCCAAGAAAAGAAGTACTTTAAATTGTAATAGTGTCTGTTGAACCTAGTTGCTAGGTTCTCTGCACTTCACATGGCACAACAATCCTTTAAGGTGGACACTATCTCCATTTTAGAGAGGGGATTCTTGAGGCTCAGAGAGTTCACATATCTTTCCAGAGGTTGCACAGCTGGTTAGAAAGAAGATGGGCATCACAGATACTTTTGTAAAGCATTCGCTCTTTCCAGCATCACAATTTTCCTCAACTGTAGACAATGTTATGTGGTTCAGACCAACCACAAACCTCCATGTCCAAGGAAAAAAGTTGAATTTTAGTTTTAAAATTATACAGAATATGGCCGGGTACCTTTCCTTTATCTTCACTCTGCATTCATTCAGCCCTTGGCACCCAGTGGTGAATCCATGGTTAGGAGAGAAAGGTGTGTACTGGAAGGAGCAATCTGAATATTAATCCTAGCTGTGACCACCACTCTAGCAGTCAGCAAACTTCTGAGTGGCAACTACTTTCAAGTTCCAAGTCTCAGGTTTCTCATTTGTAAAATGGGAATAATATTGGATTACCTTGCCAAATTGGATTATAGATAAAATATATGAAACATCCGACACAGTTAAGGGCCTGACACATAATAGATGCTCAATAAATGGTAACTACTTTTAAGTTTACAGAATACAGTCCTTCCTCTCTGGTTACAAAATCTTTTTTATTTCACTCACTACATTAATTCTTTTCAATATCTCCAACATCAGGCAGTGTGTTATGGTAGGAATCGCTTTGGAGTTAAACTATACTGACTTGGTCAAGTTGCTTAAACTCTAGATTAATCTACCAGAAGACTGTTTTAATCATATAAACCCCTCAATCTTATAGGATAAAAAGCCTAGATATCTTACATTGTGCTGGAAATCATCTATTGGATTTTCTTAAGTTTTGACACAACTTCCAAAAAAACACTGATTCTTGCTTGATACAGGTCTTCTGTCCTCTAAACTCACCATAATTCTTTTTTTTAAAAATATATTTTATTGATATTTTACAGAGAGGGAGAGAGAGGGATAGAGAGTTAGAAACAACGATGAGAGAGATACATCGATTCAGCTGCCTCCTGCACACTCCCCACCGAGGATGTGCCCGCAACCAAGGTACATGCCCTTGACCGAATCGAACCCGGGACCCTTCAGTCCGCAGTCCGACGCTCTATCCACTGAGCCAAACCGGTTAGGGCACTCACCATAATTCTTCATTTGAATCTGTGCTGTTGTATTTAGCATACTATTTCCCCCTTTACAGTTTTAATCTTGAAACTAATTCCACCTATAATTATTTAAATGCCACTTTCTTTCTGAAGCCTTCACATTGATTGTCCATTCTTTGAAATCCTGTAGAACTTCACATAAGCACCCCTTAGCTACTTGTTCATATAATACTTTGTATTTTTAGATGATGAGTTAAAAAAATTTATTCATTCTTTTTTGTCTGATATGTGCAAAGCACTGTATTTATATGTCTTAGTTATAAAAAACAACCACTACATTTAGAGTATAAGAACCTTAATGTTTCAAACATTTCAATTCCTGCTGTAAAGTACAGCATACTCAGACAGACATAAGCCATGTTAAAGCAACACTCTAATGTGTGTTAACTAGATTTTGCTCATTTTAGATACTAGAATGTTTACAATTTAAATACAGTAATTGTAGAAATTGTGTATTAATTACTTATTGCTGTATAATAAATTACTCCAAAACCTAGTGGCTTAAAAGAACAAATACTTACTATCTCAGTTTCTGTGGGCCAAGGATTCAAAGTAGCTTAGCTGGGTGGTTGTAGCTCAGCATCTCAAGAGGTTGCAGTCAAGCTGTTGGCCGAGACCAGTCATTGGAAGGTTGCTTACTCACGTGGCTGCTGGCAGGCCTCACTTCCTTGCCACATGAGACTCCATGAGGCTGCTTAAGTGTCCTCATGATTTGACAGCTGGCTTTCCTCAGAGTAAGTGATCTGAAAGAGTGAACAAGGAGGAACCCACAGTACCTTTTAAGACCTACTCTCCGAAGTTGCACATCAACACTTTTGCTTTTTTCTATCCATTCAAAGTAAGTCATTAAATCCAGCTCACACTCAAGGGGAGATGGATCAGGCTCCACTTTTTGAAAGGCGTGTTAATTTGTGGGCATTTTAAACCACCATGGTGTTTAATATAAGTATGTTCACTGAAGCGAAGTTGGAAAATATGGACACACAAAAAAGAAGAAAGCACTACTCAATGGATAATGTCATTCTTTGGGTGTATATAATGCCAGTCTTTAAGATACATATATTTTCTCAAAATATAAACATTCTATGTGTACTATTTTGTAAACTGCTCTTTCATTTAGCATATTGTTAAGATACTTTTCATGTCAAATATTCTTTCATAACATTTTAAATGGCTGCATAACATTATATCTATGTACTAGCAGCCTGGTGCATGAAATTCATGCCCGGGTAGGGTCCCTAGGCTTGGCAGGCAATCAGGGCCAATCCGGGCCTTCAGGCTGCTGGCAGGGCCTTTCTTTGTTCTGCACCACCCCCTGGTGGTCAGCACATGTCATAGCGAGCAATCAAACTCCTAGTCCCTGGTTGAACTCCCAAGGGGACACTTGGCAAATTAGCCTTTTATACAGTGGTCCTCAAACTACAGCCCGCGGGCCACATGCAAATACAAATATTGTATTTGTTCCCATTTTGTTTTTTTACTTCAAAATAAGATATGTGCAGTGTGCATAGGAATTTGTTCATAGTTTTTTTTTTAACTATAGTCCGGCCCTCCAACTGTCTGAGGGACAGTGAACTGGCCCCCTGTTTAAAAAGTTTGAGGACCCCTGCTTTTATATATACACTGAGTGGCCAATTATGACCACCTGACATTTGTAGGCAAATTAGCTATAATTTCATGCTGAAGTTGCTAGAGGGCCAGACCATTATAAATAGGGAAGCAGGTTGTTTACCACGACAGAAGTGATTTTTTCCTGAAGATAACACGATTTAACAGCCTTTAAACGGGATATATTTGAATGTGAGTGGCCACATTATTATGACCACCCCATTAGTACTTCGTTGGGCCACCTTTTGCCTTCAATACTGCGGCGATTCTTCTTGACATTGACTCCATGAGATGTTGAAAGGTGATGTGAGGAATCTGACACCATGCCTGATGAATAGTACTGTCCAGTTCTGTGAGATTTGATGGTTGTGGAATCAGCTGCCTGATGGCTCTTTTAACTTCATCCTTGGATTGAGATCTGGTGATTGTGGGGGCCACCTAAGCAAGGTAAAGTCTCCCTCATGTTCTTGAAACCACTCCTGCACAATACGAGCACCGTGGCATGGCGCATTTTCTTGTTGGAAGAAGCCGTCCCCATTGGGATATGCCATCAACATGATAGGATGAACTTGATCAGCAACGATACTTAGGTATGTTGTGCTATTCAGACGCTGTTCCACACGAATTAAAGGGCCCAAATCATGCCAGGAAAACATGCCCCAAACCATAACACTGCCCTCACCAGCTTGAAGGGTTGTCTCATGCATATGGGGTGCATGCTTTCATGCTGTTTCTGCCAAATTCTCACTCTGCCACCTGTATGATGCAACTGGAAACGTGATTCATCGGACCACATGACTTTTTTCCAATGCTCGACTGTCCAATCCTTGTGTTCCTGTGCGAATTGGAGACGTTTTATCTTGGTAACTGCAGACAGCAAAGGTGTTCGAACAGGCCTTTGGCTTCCATATCCCATATGCAGTGTACGGCTAATTTGCCTACAAACGTCAAGTGGTCATAATAATCTGGCCACTCACGTTCAAATATATCCGTTCAAAGGCTCTTAAATTGCATTGTTTACCCATATCTTCAGAAAAAAATCACTTCTACTGTCGTGGTAAACCACCTGCTTCCCTATTTATAATGGTCTGGCCCTCTAGCAACTTCAGCACGAAATTATAGCTAATTTGCCTACAAACGTCAGGTGGTAATATCAATCAGTGTATATGTAGATAACATTTAATTCTATATTGTAGGACATTTAGATTGTTTATAGGTCTTTCCTATTTTACATATATTGTTAAATACCCTTACACTTAATTTCTTCTCACATATATGACTCAGTTTTTTCTTTGTTTTTCATGATTATTTCTTACATTCCTAGACATGGAATTTCTGGAACAGGATTTGTACAGTTTTAAAATTTCTGTTATCACTCAGCCAGTGTCGCTCAGTGGTTGAGTGTCAACCTGTGAACCAGGAGGTCACGGTTTGATTCCTAGTCAGGGCATATGCCTGGACTGCAGGCTCAGAATGGGCTCTTGATGAGTGCAGTAAAAATTCTACTCAAATTAAGTAGATAACAGAGGTTTTATTTTTTAAATATATTTTTTGTTGATTTCAAAGAAGAGGGAGGGAGAGAAACATCAATGATGAGAGAGAATCATTGATTGGCTGCCTCCTGCACGGCCTCTACTGGGGATCAAGCCCAAAACCCAGGCATGTGCCCTTGGCCAGAATTGAACCCAGAACCCTTCAGTCCACAGGCCGACGCTCTATCCACTGAGCCAAACCAGCTAGGGCCAAAGTCTTACCATTTATAAAGCTTTAATTTCTTTAAGAAGTCCTATGAAAATAAAACTTTGTTTTTCATGAAAAGGTTTTGCATTTACCCCTGGATTCCACAAACACCCTGCTGTTGCTGGAAAGGTTGTGTTAAACTCTGCTACCTCTGGTGGAAGGGGGGAAATTTCTGATGGGCATCCAAGAAGAAATGGAGGTTCCACCTCTGCTCTCTCGCCTCCATAAATTCTATGAAGCCCTCCTTGAAATGCCAGCAGCCAACTTTTCCCCTATACTGCGGAGGCTCTAAAATGTTACTGTTAAAAACATTTCACACCAACTATTACTGCAGCACAGGCCCTTGGGGCCTTTGCAATTGCTGTTCCCTCTGCCAGGAATGGTCTTACCCTTGGTAAGACCTGGCTTGCTTCCCCACTTCAAGGACTGTGCTTCGTCACCATCACCCGACCTGTACAGGCGCTTGTGTCTCTCCTCCCTGGATTTAAACCAAGGAAGCTGTAGTTTTGTTTCATTCGGCGCTGTCTCAACCCAGCTGGCAGTTGTAGATCAGAACATGTTTATCCGTGGATACTACCTCAGTTATGGGCACAAATCCTATAAGATATGGGAAATGTTTGAAAACGTATACTAATACATACACGTACAGCACGATTAACTTTTGCTGACTGGATCCGCAGACAACAGAAATACAAAAAGAACCAACTTTGTTTCGTCGATTCTTGTCTCAAGTTTTCACTTTCCCTCGGTTCATAATGCGTGCCCACACTGCCTCAAAAAATATTTATCTAAATGATTTAATGCTGAGAAACGTGAAGTAACTTGCCCAAGGTCCAGTGGTAGTCCCGACAGAGGTCTGACTCTCAAGGTTGGATGTGACGTACCACGTTAGTAATACAAACGTTTGAAGGAAGACGCACCGGACCTCGGACCCTTAACCAGCGACGGGTTCTGACTCACGCTAGGCTGGGACCCGCAAGTTCGCCACAGGCACTTCCGGTTTTCTAAACAGCCCCGGCGCCCAGCTCCTGACGCCAACAGCGTGCGACGAGGCGCCATCGCGTGGTCACGCTCTTTCAGTGACCTTCAGGGCCCTCGGAGACGTCAGCAAACGGAAGGCCCCTGCCTGTGCGCTGATTGGTCGCGCGCTTCCGGCCCCGCCCCCTGTCTTCCGCTCTCTCGCGCTCAGCCGAAGTCGCCGGGGTCTTCTAGGAGTTTCGCACTTGCAGACACCGACCCGCTGCGCAGTTGCGATGCCGCGTGGAAGCCGGAGCCGCACCTCCCGCATGGCCCCTCCGGCCAGGTGAGGTCCTCGCGGGGTTGGGGGCCCTGTGGGCGCCGTGACGCAGGGTGGCCGGGCGGAGGCTGGCGGAGGCCGCGGACGGGGCGTCTGAAGGCCAATGCGGCGGGGGCCCGACTTCGTGGCGCCTTTGGCTAAATGTTCCCATTAGTGGCAAGTTTTCTAATTTCGAACGCCCATGAGTTATTGCTTAAAATATTTCGTAGCTCATTTTAAGTTAAAATAGCCAAGTTGTAAAAAGAAGTGGAAACAGGCTGAAACGGTCAAAGTAGCAACAACAAAAAAGTGTAGAAGAAAGGTAACAATCGGGAAATGATCGGATTTCAATTCAGGGAATAATCTGTGAGCACCTGCCATGAGCAGTGAGCCTTTTGGGGTCTCAGCCTACGAGAGGACACAGCCACTAAGGCCCTCACGTGTACCTGACGATTTCTAATTTCTAAAATACTTGTAAAATGTACTGCCAGTTACACCTCATGGTAACCCTAGAGATCTGTTACCCCTACTTGACAGGAATAAGGAAACAGCAGACTCAGAATAAATTACTTGTCTAAGGTCATGCTTCCCGGAAGTGGGAAAGCCAGTGACCAATTCAGGACATTCAGCACAGGCCCTGTTGCTTCACTGGATTGTGTTCATACAGTGTGCGAGGAGTGTGAGAAGGGGTTCGCTTGTGAAAAGAAACTTCTGTTCAAAGGGCAGATAACCACATTTTTTAAAATATATTTTTTATTGGTTTCAGAGAGGAAGGGGGAGAGAGAAACATCAGTGATGAGAGAGAACCATTGGTCGGCTGCCTCCTGCACACCTCCTCCTGGGACTGAGCGGCAATCCAGGCATGTGCCTGATGGGGAATCGAACTATGACCTGGTTCATAGGTCAGTGCTCAACCGCTGAGCCACGCCGCCTGGGCAGTAACCACCTTAAAGTGAAATCATAAACTTTTGACCTGGCCTTATTTGGAGGAAGAATCTAAAAACGGGTAAGGGGGAGCATAATTTATATGAAGATTTTACTGAAATAGTTGAAAGCATCCAACTGTCCTACAGATGGAAGATAGTTGAGATTAATTTTGGTGTAACAGTTCAGGCAAGTCACTTCGTCACTGGGCTTCAGTGTTCTAATCTGTAAAATGGAGGAATTTGACTAGATTACTTCCCCAGATGAAGTGCAGGTCTTCATTCAAATGTTACCAGCTCAGGGAGATATCCTTTGACTGTCCTTAAGTTATGAAATCCCACAACATGCTCCCCCTCACTCCCTATTTTTTCCTTAGCACTTGTGATGAATTCTGTGAGAATATTTTAAACTCTTAATATTTTACAATTTTTACGAAGTATTGGAAAAACTGTGTTCTTTAAAGATACTGTGGGCTATTGAATACATGGAAATGGTTGCAAAGAAGCAGGAAAAAATAGTTTATACTTGGTGGTTACAACCCAAACAAAAGGTTAAAGAGAGAAAATGTAACAGAATAGTTTAGGGCAGTGGTCGGCAAACTCAGTCAATGGAGCCAAATATCAACAGTACAACGATTGAAATTTCTTTTGAGAGCCAAATTTTTTCAACTTAAACTATATAGGTAGGTACATTGTTATTAACTTAATTAGGGTACTCCTAAGGCTTAGGAAGAGCTACACTCAAGGGGCCAAAGAGCCGCATGTGGCTCACGAGCCGCAGTTTGCCGACCACGGGAACTTTAGGGAATTGTGTTTTGTAAAGTTTTCTTGTATGTATGTAGTATTACCTTGACAGTTTCCAAACCTGGTTGGAAGTAGGAACTGCATACTTTCTGTTCTTTACTTTAACAGCCGGGCACCTCAGATGAGAGCTGCGCCCAGGCCAGCACCGGCAGCTCACCCACCAGCACCAGCTGCACCATCTGCTGTTGGCGCACCTGCTGCACCCCGGCAGCCAGGTCTGATGGCCCAAATGGCAACCACTGCAGCTGGTGTGGCTGTGGGCTCTGCTGTCGGCCACACACTGGGTCATGCCATCACTGGGGGCTTCAGTGGAGGAAGTAATGCTGAGCCCTCAAGGCCTGACATCACTTACCAGGTAAGACTTTGGGCGGCATTGCCCTTCAGTGGTATATTTGATGAGGAAACCTAGTTATTTGTAAGTTCCTTGTGTGTAAGAACCGTGTGTAAATTTAGAATCCACAATGCGATTAACAGAAAATGTTTTATCGAAAGCCACGCTTGGCAGTTGAGTTAGTGCCTCAGGCCAGCATCAGTAAGTACTGTACAAATTTTCTTTTTTCCCAAGACGTAGAACTCTAGTAGTTCAACCTGATTCACTGTAAAACAGCCATTTTTTTTTTCTTATTTTAAATATTTTGTCTTGGTTACCCTGAACTAATTCAGTCTTGATCTTAGTTTTCTTTTTTATATTTTTTGATTGATTTCAGAGAGGAAGGGAGAGGGAGAGAGAGATGGAAACATCAATGATGAGAGAGAATCATTGATTGGCTGCCTCCTGCACCCCCCCTACTGGGAACCGAGCACCCCCAACCCAGGCATATGCCCTTGACCGGAATCTAACCCAGAACCCTTCAGTCCACAGGCCAACACTCTATTGACTAAGGGCTCAATCTTAGTTTTCAAAAAAATCTCTTTAGAAGCTCTTTGCTCTCTGATCTCTTACCTGACATTTGCCACTTGCCCCTCTTTCTGGGATTTGTGAATTTTCTCCTCTAGTGAACATGGGTGTGTACTCTGTTGTGATTCTGATAGACTTGAAACTCTCATCCACCTATTTTTCTATAGTAGTCCCATTTTTTCCTCCATGAAACTTCACTGGTCTTTAAATTCCAGATAACCATTTCATTTTACTTGCATCTTTGTTCTTGAATCTAGCTGATAACAACTGGAATTTTGCTAAAACTCATTTTCTGCCTTGAAAATATCTCACTTTCCATGTTATTAGCTGAAAACTTTAATTTGCAGCTGGATTTAGTTCTGTTTCCCAGTTAACCTCAAAGACAGTGGATACTGCTCTTTGTTCAGGGGTAAGTCTGATTTCCTTTCTAAACGTTCCTGAATGTTATGCCTTTGCAGGAGCCCCAGGGAACGCAGGCATACCAGCAGCAGCAGCAGCAGTTTGGCCCATGCCACTATGAGATGAAACAATTTTTGGACTGTGCCCAGAACCAGGGTGACCTTAAGCTTTGTGAGGGTTTCAGCGAGGTGCTGAAACAGTGCAAATTTGCAAATGGTAGGTGATATATCAATTCATGATTGAACTTGCATAGGCTCGATTTGTTTAATGGTTGTGCTCCTAGATCCTACAGAACTTAGGGAATATGTGTTTAATAAATTAAACTGACAAATTAGAGGAGATTTTGTTAAAATTACTCTAAAGATAAGCTAACTTCTAACGAACTAGCGCAGAGGTTTCTAATCATTATCTTAATCCTTTACCAGTTATGTTCTGAATCTGATTCTTCCTTAAATAGACATAGATTAGTGCGTCAGATCTTATTGAGGATAACTGCATGCAATCGATCTAGACTTAAAGTTATGAATACAAAATTAAAAGTTCAGGGATGCACATAAAGACTGATATTGGAATTCTGCATGCTGTATTAGACAAGTGTATTAAGTCCCTCACCGGAATTCTTAGATTTAGGCTTTCCGGAATGTCAACTGGTTTTCACATAATTTCCTTCCATCCACCTAAGAATACACCATCTATTAAAATGTTTGTTTTCATTTCCCCCCTTCATTTTGGGTAGGACATAAGGGAGAAGTTAATCTTTTCAGGTGGTTGAACTGTGGAAGTAAGAGATTGCATGTCCAAGTTCATCAGAATTCTTTGATGAAGCTACATCTAGTATCAAACTGGCTATAGTTCTGCCTCAGGTCTCTGTCCCCAGAAGCGCATGTGCCCTGTCTTTTCTCAGTTATGACAAATGCAAATGTTTTGTTGGTTATAGGATGCCCTCAATAACTTATTAAAGAAATTCTGGGGGGTTTTTTCCTCTCCTTTCATAATTGGGAGGGCTTCAGTTTAGTTAAGACTGTATAGCCAGTGCTCTTCTAAATGTACCTTTTTTATTTGCAGGATTGGCCTAATCAAGAAGGTCGCATTGAAGAAATGGGAAATCATCTCTCATGTCCAAGTTAACTTAGTATAAAAATATATAATTGATAGTGAAAGTATAAAACTATTAGTTAACTCTCCTATATCATTAATAGTTTCCTCGCCTCTGAATAGCAGTGGAAGAGAGTGTACTTACTGTGTAGAAGTTCATTAAGATGATAATTCAGTTTGGGGCTGAGCAGATGTTTGTGTGGCCTCCTTAAACCAGCTTTTGTGATGTTTGTGAATCAGTTACAATAAAGTGATTTTCTTCTGAAATGGTGTCCGGTAAATGTAAGGTAATAAATTTTAGATATAGTATATGCATCCTGAACATATGTATTTTGCAGAAGAACATAATTGTCTCAACATGTCTTTAATTTTATCTAGTTTATAGTCTCTGGACATGAAATTAGCATCTACCCAAAAGGCCTGGTAAAGCTCCCTGAGAAACTTTTGTAGGGAAATAGTTATGTAAGGAGTAGTTCACTAGCAAACATGTTGCCCATTAAAAAGGTTCCAGGTACTATAAGCCTTCAGAGCCAGTGTTCAATAAACTGAGCAGTCATAAGAAACTTTAAGATGAAGGGTAAGTGGGTTCCCTGTGGCCAGGTGAGCACTATTTGTCACTATTTCCCTAGAATATCCAATTAGTTTGATCAGAGATGAAAACCATTCTCTTAATACACGCAGTTCCCCAATAGATATTTTTCCAATTTTAGGCATTGTAGCTTCCGCTTCATGAAAGACTCAGGTGAGCGGCGATTGTCTTGAGGTGGACTCAATTTGAGGTGCACCATTTTTGTTAACCAAGCTCCAAACCTCAACTAAAAATTTTACTCTCGAGTTGATCTCTAAGTCTACATTATGCTCTTACACTTTTTCAATTTTCAAATGTGCCTTTCATAGGTTCTGTTATCTGGTTTTCCCCCTCTTAAGTTTTAGAGGCATCTTATTACAGGGTGAGTGGATGTTGAATGAGTGAATTACCCAGTTGCTGCCTCCTGTCCTCAGCTGTGTTCTTGGAGTGCCCTTTTCTACCAAATCATTCAGTTCCTGAAAGGGACCATGACTGCCTTACCCTGAGCACCTGAATGACCACAGATAATTCACTCCTGGCGAGTCCTCTAACATAGTTCCTCCTGGGTTCGTCAGTGGACTCCTTTGCCCGTTTTCCTGGAGGCTCATAGTGTTAATTGCCCCTTATATCCAAGGTGTGATGGTCTATAGTGGGTACCCAAATATCGTTAGTGTATCAAAGGAAAATAACTCGCAGCAATACATGCAAGAGTCTGCTGGGCCTCTTCCTCCCTGGAAGGAGCCATGGCTCCCCAGAGAAAGGCACTGGGAATAATCCTCTGGGTGCATTGGTCTTTTTCCCTGAAGTCAGAAGGGATTCTGTCATGCATTCAAAGTATAAACTAGTATGAGTCAAGTCTATAGCTTAGAATAAAAAAAGGCTTATTGACAGTAGGTAAAAGGATGAGACTGAAGTGTTTCCATCCTTGGAGCCAGAAGCTGCATCTCAATAAACAAGACCTTTATGCATAAAACTCAACCCTGACGTCATCTTCAACTCCTTTCCATGTAGCAATTCAGCAAAGTATTTCCCCAGAGTGAAAAAAGAGATGGTCAGCATGATAAAACGGAGAGAGCACTTGGACCTACATCTGGGGTTAATCTAGGCACTCCTACTCACCTATATTTTTACGCTGAACAAGTCAAACATTCTCTAAAATAGGCTAATACCAGAGTTTTGGGGTCCAAGTGAAGTGCTTTGTAGTATGCTAGTCAAATGGATGTTTATGGGCTCAGCTCCTGTGAAGCACATGTAGATTACCCCTCTCTTTGTTTTGTATATTAGAATTAAGGGTTTGAAAAAAGGTTGCTTTAGAATAGGGGAGAGCAATAAGTGTCCACTGTGTGCCACCATGTTGTATACATTATTTCCAATTCTGTCAGCCTCTTAAAGTAGAATCATACACACCCAAAGAGCTTGGAGTTGCACACAGAACCCATATGCTTTTCCTGGCACACTGAAGTCTTCCCCGTAGTTGCCTGGCCAACGTGGCTCAGTGGTTGAGCATCGACCTATGAATCAGAGGTCATGGTTCAATTATATGCTAATGATATGCTAAGGCTGCTGGGGACTGAGATGGGCCAGACACGCCCTGGAGCCCTCCCACAATCCCTCCTGGTCAGGGCATATGTCTGGGTTGTAGGCTCCATCCCCAGTAGGGGGCGTGCAGGAGGCAGCCGATAAATAATCCTCATCATTGATGTTTCTATCTCCCTCTCCCTCTCTGAAATCAATTAAAAAATATATATATAAAAAAATTCTTCCCAGTAGAAACGGCAGGCTGACAACAAAATGGGTTAAGGATGAGATAATGGAGGCAGATCCGAGGTCAATTCCTGAAGGGGATGTTCCCTAATCTTTAAAGTCTGCATTTTGTGGGGCAGGCACACAAACCATCCCTGAGCAGATCCTGATGTCCAGGTCCCAGCACTGGTGTGGGTGCACCAGTGTGCTGTTTCCTGATCACACCAAACACAGAAACGGCTCCCAGAGAAACAGGTTGGCTTTAGACCCTCTGGGCCTGGAGACCAAGTAGCTCCAGAAGGAAAATCGTCGCCTCATGCTGTCACGCCTGTTCCCAGGTCACCCGAACTTCCCTCACCCTCCACCAGAGGTCACCGCTGGCGAGACTCCTGTGCGCTGTCCCTTGCTGAGCCTTGGCCTGCATCCCGGGTTTGCTCTGGTGATTTATTTTTGGCACCTCAGCCTTCCCTAATCAAGTAGCAAAGCACGAAGGAAGAGCAGCAAAATATCCTGCTCCGGCCACAACTGTCGGCTCAGGACACACTGCAGTCCTCTGTTGTCCCCTCTCTCCAAGGGGCTCTGGGACCTTTGAGATTCCTGTCAAGTCCACTCAAGGGCCTGCAAGGACCTAACGGTGAGTAGCTGGGCCAGTGATGGACAAAACCAGGTGGCAGACAGGGTTAGGGGGAGGCTGTGGGTTAGAGAAGTAGAAACCCCGAAGTCCGTTAGACCCACTTCCCCTCTGAAGGCAGGTGGACCAGAAGAGAGGCAGCATTGACTCCAGAGTTTAGAAAGTGGGTCCCTGTGACTGAATCAGACTGAGTTTTGGAAAGGACAGTATGTTCCAGAAAGGATTAAACCTATTTGGTGACCCTTTTCAAAAGGATTTTGGGAAGAGTGTGGGGTGCAGGTGGAGGCAGTGAACAGACGCATAAAATCAGCCCCAAGTTAGGCCTGGAGCCAAAGGAGGGAACAAGAGAAACCTCCCCAGCCCACACCAAGAGAGATGAATGCCGTCAGAACCAGCTGGACCTGGCCATGCCGTGGAATGCATCCCCAGCCGGTGGCATCCTGGGTGGGTCCAGATGTATTCTCTGCCCGGGGAGGGCTGGGGGAAGGGAAGGAGCTGGTGCTACGCAGTGTTGAGAACTTATAAGGACTTGCCAGGAAATGAACTTGATGTTACAGGGAACAGACTCTCCTGTGCTCAGTTGGGGTTGCTGACAGGACAGAAGCAGCCTGCTGCTGGCAGGAGGCTTCTGATAACCAGGCACCCAGCAGTGGGGACACCAGGCTTCCTGGAACGGCCAGCCCGAGGCCTGAGGCAGCCAGGGCTGCAGCTTGGCTGGTCAGCAAATCAGCCCCTGTGACAAGCCAGGCCTTGTTGGGCCCAGAAAAGGCAGTAGATATGGGACTAGAAGAGTTTGGGCCCTGCTCAGTGGCAGCTTGTGCCCATTTTCTGTCTGCTGTTCTTCCTGTTGGTGGATGACTTTCTCCATTCCTCAAACCCTTCATCCAAGGTCAGTGCCCGGAGCTTAGCTCCTCTGTCCAGGCCTGAATGTCCTGGCTCTGTACTGCCCCACACTGTGGCAGGACCACTCAGGGCTCACAGGCCATCGCTAGTAGGACATGGGCCATTCTGCTGACAGACCCTGCGCCAAAAGAATACCTCTACCATCAACTCACCCTCCGGGAGCAGCTCCTGCTACGTGCCTGCACTGGATGCATACAGAGGGGCAGGATGGCTGGGGCTGGGACATCCTAGACAAGATCACAGCTTAATGGGGGACATGACAGCACACACTGACAAGTGATAGCAGAGGCTGGGGCCAGAATTCCCCCATCAAGCTCTGCATCCCTCAGGGCATCTGGCACAGTGCTTTTCAAAGAATATAAAAGGATGAAGGCATGAAAGATGGTTATGAAAGTCCAGGGTAAAGACAAAATGAGTGAGGAAGGAGCATGTTCTGAAAGAAGGGGCGTTTTCAGGGTCAGACAGGACTGGGGTAGATAAGGACAGGCTGTAAGAGCAGCATATTAAGAAGATGAAATTGTGCGGCTTCTACCTTTTCCACAAGTGCAGAGAGCAGGCAGAAGTAAGCAGGACCAACCTCATGTCCTCAAAGAGGAAAGGAAGCCACTTTACTTTGCCCTCTGGAGAGGTTCTCTGTGGTTCTGTCTAAATGTATTTTTATTGATTAATTTTAGAGAGAGAGGGAGGGAGGGAGAAAGACATAGATTTGTTGTTCCACGTATTTATGCATTCATTGGTTGATTCTTGTATGTGCCCTGACCAGGGATTGAACCCACAACCTTGGCATATTGGGATGATATTCTAACCCAGTGGTTCCCAACCTTTTTTTGGCCATGCCCCACCTAAGCATCTCTAAAATCCTGATGCCCCCGCCCCACCCCCGTGACATATAATTCTTATTATTTAAAAAGTGAACTTCTATTCATGTGGAGGAAGCCTAAAAGGCCATTAACTTGGTCTAAACAAGTTTCCAAAGAACATGGCATCCATGAAAGAGAAAAATGAAAGAACAAAAGGACAGTTGAAGTACTGAGGAAATCACTAAGAAATTGTTAAAAAATAATATGAAGTGATATGAAAAAATAGCAAAGTTTCAAAACACATAATAGAGAACTGAAATGCATAAATAGGTCACAATATATATTTATAGACTGTATATGAGGCCCCTAGAACCATAAGAAATGCAAAAAAGTCACTGTTAATAACTCATTCTTGAATTGCCCCCCTTAAAAATCAAATTGCCCCCCCCCCCCCCGAGAGGCATGTGGCCCACTTTGGGAACCACTGCTCTAACCAAATGAGCTAACCAGCCAGGGCCTCGGTGGTTCTTTCTAAAATCAAGGCTGTGCCGGCCTCCTCAGAGCTAACCTTGGGTCCCGATGTCCCCGCAGGCCTGGGCCTGGCTGACTATCCCCTCCCCCAGGGGGAGCAGCTTACAGTGAGAACATGCAGGGAAACATGGTCACCTGGACTCACAAGAGTTTACAGCCAGTGGGAAGAACGATGCTCGACTCTTTTCAAAGCATTTTTTCAACTCTCAAACATTCATTTTGAACATTCACAATAGTCCAGCCCTGTGCCAGGCGAGACAAAAATGGGTGAAAACCGGTTCCCACCCTCAAAGAGCACATCCCCCAGGCCGGGAGCGCTGACAGCATCTTTCTGTTCCCTCTCAGAGCCCTTCAGAACCATCCCAAGGAGCTGAGCATGACGCGGGACGAGGCGCAGCTGGACTCACATTCCACAGAGGGTTTCTATGAGAACTATGAGCCCAAGGAGATCCTGGGCAGGTAAGGCCCAGACCTTCCCCAGGAAACGCTGTCCTAGGCTCCAGCCGGCTCTGCCAACCTCTGGGCCAATCTCTGCTGGACCCTGGGCACCCAGGCCATTTCCATCCCTCAGTTTGGGTCCTCCCCTCCTGACCAGGAAGATAGGGTGTGAGTACCCAGATCAGTGACTTCTCCTGGCAAAGAGCTTCCCGCAACCCTGACTGACGCTGGTGACAAGCACATCCAAACCCAGCTTTGGGCCAGGGTCAGAGATCAGGGGTCAAAGGAAGCTTATGGCCTTGAGAGTGTACGGCCTCTTTCTATGTGTGAACGAACGCTGAACTGGGAGTTAAGAGGCCTGAGACCAGGCTTGTGACTCATCAGCATCCTACTTCTCCCAAAAGCTCACAGGGAGTTGGGGGACAAGGCAGGACATCTTTGCTGTGGCCTGGACTTGAGGCACCCGCTGAGACCACCTGTCCTCTGCACCCCCAGGGGAGTTAGCAGTGTCGTCAGGCGCTGTATCCACAAGCCCACGCGCAAGGAGTATGCTGTGAAGATCATTGACGTCACCGGCGGGGGCAGCTTCAGCCCCAAGGAGGTGCGGGAGCTGCGAGAGGCCACGCTGAAGGAGGTGGACATCCTGCGCAAGGTGTCAGGGTACCCCAACATCGGTGAGTGCTGGCTCCCAGCCACAGCGGGGTGCTCCACCTTGCTTCTGCCCTGAGAACCCAAGTCAGGGAGTGCAGCCCACCATGCAGCTAGCCAGAATTGTCCAGGGTGTCTCCTGCACCCTGAGGCTTGAGGTTCCCAGCTCCAACCTCCAGGAAGACTGCTCTGGGGATTCAGCTCGAAGCCTCCTCTCCCAGCCAGACAGAAAGGGTCACCGGCAGGTCTGGGACTGGGTGAGGGCGGGGGAGTGGGGTGTGAAGTCACTGGGCCTGCCCCCTCCCCTGGGGGGCCTCCTTGGAGTAGCATCCAGATACCCCCTTCATTTGTGCAGTCGGCCCCAGCAGCTTTCCTCCCCCTGCCCCTAGACCCCACTGCCTCTGCCCAGGCTCCTCTGCTCCCTGAGGCAAGCCAGCCATTTCCATTTCAGTACAGCTGAAGGACAATTATGAGACCAACACTTTCTTCTTCTTGGTGTTTGATCTGTAAGTACCCAGCCCTGGAACCAGCCATACCCCGAGGCTCAATCGGAGAACTTCCTATTGTGGTCTCCCATCCAGCAGCCAGCCCGCTACACTGTAGATGCCAAGTAGGATCACAAGTGCTTTAGGCAGGTCAGCCCCTGGGGTCAGGCTGCCCGGCTTTGAATCCTGGGTCCACCACTTATGGGCTGGAGGCTTTCTTTCTTTCTTTATCTTGTTAATCCTCACCCAAGGATACTTTTTGCCAGTACTTGTTAATCCTCACCCAAGGATACTTTTTGCCAGTGATTTTTAGAGAGATTGGAAGGGAGGGAGGGATTGGAGAAGAGGGAGAGAGAGGGGGCGGAATGTGAGAGAGACGCGACTGGCTGCCTCCCACGTGCACCTGACTGGGCCAGGGAGTGAACCCACAATTCAGAGACGTGCCCTTGACTGGGAATCAAGCCTGAGACCCTTGGGCTGATGCTCTATCCACTGAACCACACGGGCCAGGGCATTATTGCCCTTTTTGTTAGAAAAGGTTCCCAGCAAGAAGAACTCCCTGGCTCATTGCTTCCCCACTCCACTGAGTCCTTGTTGAGGAACAGAAATCTCTCTGCATGGCTCGCTGTTAAAGGGGTGTCTTGATTTCTCCCTATATAACAGCTAATTTAGGGACTGGGTTTCTTGAGAAAATTATTCAGGTAAACTTTGTATTGTTGGAACGTTTCCTATTGTGGCCCTACTGTGGTTTTGCTTGGAGTAACACGTAACTTGGCCTGTGTGTACAATTAAACGGCCAGCTCCAGAAGGCAGAGCCTGCTCATGTACCTTGCACAGTCCCCAGTACTTACAGGTAAACCTGCTGCTGCTGCTGCTGCTGCTGCTGCTGCTGCTATTGCTAATAGTGTCTTTAAGTTGGAATTAAAACGACAAAAATGGGACTCACATGTTGCTTTTTAGGAACACAGTACAGATAGTGTATAAAGCAGGGCTTATATCTGTGAATTCTAGGTTGTTTCTTCAAATGGAACCCCTCTCCCTGCCCTAGCAGCTAAGCTCAATGGTTTTCTTGCCTCTCTGGGACTCCAGCAACATCCCTTGTGCCCTAGGAATCCAACTGCTTTCCCTGGAGGAGCGGGTGAGAGGGGGCAGGACGCACCTTTCCTATTTAACACAGGGAGACTTTCCCAGGGACCCTCCAGACTGGACCAGCCGCAGCTGTCCCAGCTCCGCTCAGTGGCCCTGTCCTTGGGGGCAGCTCAGATGTCCCTAACCTTTGAAGAAGTTACTTGGGGAATCTATTTTTAATGCTGCCCCAAGCTGCCCTCCAGGTTATAACTAGATTTTTCTAACGGACACCTCTTTATAGAGCATCCTAAGAAGTGAGAAGATTGAACTGCAATTCTTAATCCTAACAGGCACAACTGCTCCTCCAACACTCAACACTCATTCCATTTGTGCCTGAAAAATATCAGGATACTCTTGTCCTTCTGATCGGGGTCTGGGCCCTTGGGCCAGGAGGGCCTTCGGCCAGTTTTTCATCTCCCAGCCCTTGATTTTGGCCCTGATAGATCTGTCCATGCTGTCACTCCCACAGATGGGAGAGACTCTCACACTGATGCCATACCACCCCTCCAGCCTCCCTTGCTCTTCTTCCAATCTTCCCAGACAACCTCTCCACTCACTTCCCAGCTCCTCCCTGCAGACCCTGGTCCTTTGCCTCTGGAGGGATTAGGGTGAGGAAGAGCTCTCTGGGAGCAGGCTAAGAAGGGGGTGGTCTTGGATCAATCCAGCTACAAACCCTCTGTCACCACAGGATGAAGAAAGGGGAGCTCTTTGATTACCTCACTGAGAAGGTCACCCTGAGTGAGAAGGAAACCAGGTGAGGGTCCACTTGCCCCTCTCCCCACTCCCTGCCCAAGCCCCAGTGCGACAGGCACCCAGGCCTCGGAGGGTGTGCACCGCTGGGTTGTGACCTCCCTCCTTGGCTCAGCCCGGCCGTCCCAGCCGCCCTCTCTCCTGTGCAGTCGGCCTGGTATGTGGGCTTTGGTCTCCCTCCCCGCCACCTGACCCTGCAGAGGAGAGCAGAGTGACACGCTCCTGTCCCACCCCAGGAAGATTATGAGAGCCCTGCTGGAGGTGATCTGCACCTTGCACAAACTCGACATCGTCCATCGGGACCTGAAGCCCGAGAACATCCTCTTGGACGATGACATGAACATCAAGCTCACCGACTTTGGCTTTTCCTGCCAGCTGAAGCCAGGAGAGAAGCTACGAGGTCCGGTAACGAGGCCTGGCTTTCTCACCAACTCTCCCAGGAACAGAGATTGCCCGGGACCCTCCTCTATATCCCCCCAGAATAAAAATCCTATCATTTCAGGGTTAGGTGCCTTTTCAGGCAGGTCCTCTTCTCAGGACTGAGTTGAGCCAGGTTCCCACGGCCTGAGTTCTAGGCCAGAATAGTTGGATGTGACCAGGGAACCAACAGGCCCCAAGTGGGTGGCCCTACGAGCCAGCTCTGGCCCCTGCCCTTGGCCCTGAAGTTGGCCAGTGCTAGGCGAGTCCCAGTCCAAGCACTATTTCTGTTCTATCTTGTTTCTTCGGACCTTCTTCTTCCAAGTGCCCCCTGCTGACCTATCTGATGGTAACTGTTCCTGCAGAGATCTGTGGGACCCCCAGTTACCTGGCCCCCGAGATCATTGAGTGCTCCATGAACAGTGACCACCCGGGCTACGGGAAGGAGGTGGACATGTGAGTGTGTTGGGGGGAAGGGACAGGGATGCCAGCATGGCCGGACCACCTGGCTGGGGAGGGGAGGAACTGGCCGGAGCTACAGCCAGTCCCCCTGCCTTCCTCCCACCCACCTGGTGCCAGGTGGAGCACAGGGGTCATCATGTACACCCTACTGGCTGGCTCCCCGCCCTTCTGGCACCGGAAGCAGATGCTGATGCTGAGGATGATCATGAGCGGCAACTACCAGTTTGGCTCACCCGAGTGGGATGATTACTCGGACACCGTGAAAGACTTGGTGAGGGGCCAGGCCCGCTGACTCCTGGGCTCAGGCGAGGGGCAGTCCACCGCGGGGGGAGGGGAGTGTGCCAGGCACAGGATGGAGGGGTCTGCTAGGAGACCCCATGGCTTCTGAAGCGCTGGCAGGGAGCCTGCCTTGCTGTTTTCACTACCCACCTCGTTCTCTCAGGTTTCCCGCTTCTTGGTGGTGAACCCCCAGGGCCGCCTTACGGCAGAAGAGGCCTTAGCGCATCCCTTCTTCCAGCAGTATGACGTGGAGGAAGTGCGGCACTTCAGCCCCCGGGGCAAGTTCAAGGTATTGAAGCTCCCTTCCCACCCAGGGCCCTGGAGCCCAAGCCCCCCAGGGACCACTACTCACACTACTTACAGGCTAGGGTTTCCAGGGCACCTGCCCTCCCCCTCCCACTCACCCGTGATGGTTCCCAGAACTCTGTCTCCAGGGAAGACAGATGTCCTCTGACAGTCTAAATGCCTGCCAATACTGGTAGGGCTGGAACTGGGGGAACACTGGGAAGGACCCAGCGGGGGCGCTCCAGGCTCTCAGTCCTGGCCCTCCCTCCGCAGGTGATCGCTCTGACAGTGCTGGCTTCAGTACGGATCTATTACCAGTACCACCGGGTGAAGCCTGTGACCCGGGAGATCATCATGCGTGACCCCTATTCCCTCCGGCCTCTGCGCCGACTCATCGATGCCTATGCTTTCCGAATCTATGGCCACTGGGTGAAGAAGGGCCAGGAGCAGAACCGGGCTGCGCTCTTTGAGAACACACCCAAGGCTGTGCTGCTCTCCCCGGTTGAGGAGGACTACTGAGGTGCTGGCAGGAGGGATGCGGGGGAGGGGTAGGCAGGGAGGGGAAGCCACGGAAACACTCGTCAAAGGAATGAGGTTGTGCAGAGAAGGCATTGGTCCAGGCCAGGACCGCTGGACCTGGGCCACTCTCCCCTCAGAGGCTCTGCACAAGCGAAAGGCACTCCCATCACAATGCAGTTGGGGCCTGGGCACAGAGGAGGGCACTGGCTTCTCCACCTCCCAGTGGTACCACCATCTCAGTGTCTGCTCAGGGGAGGCCCAGAGTTACTGACCCTCGGATGCACTTCCCTTAGGGTCCCAGGGTGAGGAGAAAACAGACAGCCGTCTGATATACAGTCACGGGGGATTTTACTGACCTCACAATGTCCAGTGACACCATGGGAGCAGGTCCTTCTCCTGGGGACAGGTTTCCAGAGGCATAAGGAAGCCCTTGCATAATTAACAACAGAAAGGGACACTTCTCATGTTTGTCTTTCTGGAGTATCATTTACTTTGTGACTCGCAGGAGGCACAGTTTGGCCTGGTTAATAATACCCTGTTCTCCTAGACCAGCGGTTCTCAACCTGTGGGTCGCGACCCCTTTGGGGGTCGAATGACCCTTTCACAGGGGTCGCCTAAAACCATATATAATTACATATTGTTTTTGTGATTAATCACTATGCTTTAATTATGTTCAATTCGTAACAATGAAAATACATCCTGCATATCAGATATTTACATTATGATTCATAACAGTAGCAAAATTACAGTTATGAAGTAGCAACAAAAATAATTTTATGATTGGGGGTCACCACAACATGAGGAACTGTATTAAAGGGTCGCGGCATTAGGAAGGTTGAGAACCACTGTCCTAGACCCTTTGAAGACTGAATTGCGCTTTAAAGAGCCCACATTTCTGCATTTCACATACAGAGAGTGGAAATCAAGTGCCTTCAGAGGCACACAGAAACACTATACAACTGAAGGCAGCATCTCCTTTCCACAGCAATTTGCTGGGAAAACAGAGAACTGGGGAAATTCTGCCCTAAGAAACAATGTCAGGTCCCTGAATCAGACACCGAGAAAGGGGGAGGGAACAGACTTAAAAGGATTTTAACACACTGCCTTTAAGAGGACGCTGCCCCAATTGTTTGAGTACTTGGCCCCTGTATAGTTGATATTTGACCTCTAATAAAAACACCCAGCTCCTGGCCACAATCAGCAAGTTGGGGCCCTTCACCAAGAGACATGGCCTCCTCTGAGGTGAGAGGCCTCTCCCGCCCACCTGCCACCAGGTGAGAGGTGCCCGTCAGAAGGGGTAGAGGAGGAGAAGATGGAAGTTGAAGAGCTTGGCTGTTTGAAATGTGGCCAGTGAGTGGCATGGGTACCACGGGGCACTCTTCGTGGCTGTGCGTGGCTGCTCACAGCTCCCCGGGCAGTCGGCCTATATTGGAAGCACAGCGGAAGCCTAGGTTGTCAGACGCTGAATCTGGAGTGTTGCCCATCCTGCCACCAGAGAAGGGGAGAGAGAATGAACATGTTGAGAAAGGGGCCTTGGGCCTTACCCAACTTTCCTGTTCCACCTCCCAGGGCCTGCTGCGACCTGGGGGGCCCAAGGACTGTGGAGGGCGTGGTCGGGAAAGAAGCCTGGTCAGAGGGCAGTCCCGGGGACATGAAGCGGCCTTGGGGCTGGGTGGAGGAAGTGACGGTGGTCCTGAGAGACTGAGCTGGAAGGCAGGAGAGGCCATGACTAGTGCCTGTGACTGTTGGTGGTTAGGAATAACTCAGCCGGAAAAAACCTGTTGGCAGTTAGTGAGATTATCACAGCGCCAGTCAGTTCTCCTACTTTTCAAAGAAGTTTCAAGTGAATTCCCTCGCTTGCCATTTCCCCACTGCTATGGAAGGCAAGATGTGTTCACCATTTTAGAGACCCAGGAGCAGATACTAGAAAGAGTTAAATGTCTTGCCCAAGACCAGCTACTGCTCCAACAGCACAACAGAATCAATGTCAAACCCAGTTTCCTGGTTCTAGGCCAGTACTTTTTTTACCACTTTGTCCTAAAAGAGAGAGAATTCAGGGGCCTTTGTGGGTCAAAGAAATACCTGCAAATCTGATATCCTGAGTGGCCTCTACAGTCCTTATGGAGCCAAAGAGTAGGAGGAGTTGCAGGGAGATCAACCAAAATAAATCTATAGGCCAACGAAGCAGCAAGTCCTAGCAGGGGACCAGCAGCCTAGGATGCTTCCATCCAGGTGCCACCACTAACCACCTGTCTGAAATGAGCAGGTCCCAGGACCCTCCTGGGCCCATTTTTAACTTGACTGTAAATCAAAATGGTTGTAGAAATGATTTTCCATGTGCCCGCCTGTTTGAAGAGTCACTATTTCCATGACCCTTGGCCATGACCTATTGATGTGGCCATTCTACTTCCCTCCCTCCGCACACCTACTTATGAGGACATGAAGAGAAGCCCATGTAACTGAGATGCTGGACACAGAGTCTCCCTGGGTGTGAGAGCTGAGAAGAAAAGGCACAAGCTGTCCTGGACTGTTTTCTTTTTCCTGGCAAGCGCTACCTGCTTCCTTTTTCAGTACTAACATCTCCTGGTGCAAGGTAGAGATGCAGAAGGAGTGCCAACACCAGTTGTGGTGCCACCCTGTGCTCTGGGAGGTCACCTCCAGCCCCTTCAGCCCTCAGCTACCAAGCTCCTCACCCTGGTGGTGACCCGGGCCCGGGTGATTGGCAGAGCCATCGGATGTGTCGATCCCGGATGTCCCCCGGAGGACACGCATAATCTTGGTTTGCTCCTTGGTATGGTGAACTGTCCACTCCCACACGTTTGCCCAC